AATTGAGCATGCACATTAGGTCCAAGGACACAGTTATCGTCCTTTGGTTTTCGTTGTCTACAAATATAGTCCCTAGTGTGAACAGTGTATAACTTGCATTTTTTTTTTATACACTTTGCCAATTTATTTCTTGATATTTTATGCATGAAATATTAAGTAAGGGGATGAAATTACATGTTAAAAAAAATTGGGTGCTGAATCTTTATGTTAAGTAGTGATTTGGTCCAGTTAAAAAAGGTCAAAAATTAGAATGTCTGAAGCTGTCAAACTGAATTGTAGCCCCCCTTAACACAGAATTGTCAATATTTTGAGTTAGAGCTGGTAGAAGTTTCTATAATTTTGATATTATTTGTATCAATAGTAGTACACTACACTGTAAAAATCTTTTTGAGATAGAGCAGGTGCGATTTTTTTAATTTGAATTTATTCTCTAAAAGAAATGCACTACGAAATAACTGTGTTCTCGGGCCTAAGAGATGAATTCCGTAAATGTAGATTCTGTACTTTGGCAACTTTCCTGAATGGTTTGCTGGTTTCAATTTGTCAAACTCAATAAAAGTAAAGGATTTACATCTTTGTTTGACAGAAATTCTGTTAAAATGTCCCATTTTGGCATTATACGGCTAAAATAAGCATTTTAAAGCAGTTTCCATTTTATGCCTAAGAGCCATGCTGACTTTCTATCTGACAGCTTTTTATGTTTCTGATATTTGTGTTTCTATTCTTAAATCAAATTTAATTAACCATTTGTGAACTCTGAATCTAGAGAAAAGTAGATTATCACAGAAAAAATGTGCAAAATATTTGTATTTATGTCCCTGGTTAAACGGCCTGTTTGATGTATGTGAAATGTGAAGAGCTTTGTACATAAAATCTGTAGTCCATCACAAATATTTCACTAAATCTGTTAAAAAAACACTTTACAATGATCAGTACACCCTATTCATTTCATATGCTACCATAATTTTCTTCTTTAGGATAGTAAGTGGTTCAAATATATGCCAATTGAGACTAAAACTACATGCAAGTTTTCCATTGAAAAGTGAAAAACTGGTCATCAGACCATACTGTCTGCAAAAAAAAGTTGAATTCAAGAGTCCTTTTGCAATTAGACTTCTTGTATCATGACATCTTAGCATAGAAATGAGCAAAAAGTAACAAATTTCCATTTCTTATAGCCTCTGTGTGCATTTTTATATGTAAATATGGGCTACGGCCTAAATCGACTCTATATAATTCTCAGTCTTACATGGCCTAAGACCATTTTATACTCATGTGGTATGCTTTTTGTAACTTTTCTTTACACTCAAAGTACATTTAATATATATAGAAGAATAATGTGTGGTTAAAAAACTTCAAAAACTTCAAATTAGTTGAAAAAAATGCATGTTTATGTAAGGCTTCCCTTAATTCGAAAATCTCTATTTTCAGGCACAGGCTCATATAAATTTGACTTTTGAATAACTGTAATAAATCTAATAAATCAAATGAGTGTTCCGTTGCTTTAAATACTTATTATACTATATTCAAGAGTATTTAAAAAGCAAATTTTTGCAATATTTAAATTTTTTAGGCCAAAATCTTGACAGTTGAAAATATTTGATTTAAACGTCAAAAATAAACATCCAAATTTCAATACTAAAATGGCCCTAGTTTCTATAATATATATCCTATGGCCATGAAACTTGGCCAACTATCTTATAATTTCCTAAGCTTAAGTCATGCAAAGTTTTATTGAAATTGGTCAAGTCTTTCTATCCTATTAGGTCCAAGGACACAGTTATCGTCCTTTGGTTTTCGTTGTCTACAAATATAGTCCCTAGTGTGAACAGTGTATAACTTGCATTTTTTTTTTATACACTTTGCCAATTTATTTCTTGATATTTTATGCATGAAATATTAAGTAAGGGGATGAAATTACATGTTAAAAAAAATTGGGTGCTGAATCTTTATGTTAAGTAGTGATTTGGTCCAGTTAAAAAAGGTCAAAAATTAGAATGTCTGAAGCTGTCAAACTGAATTGTAGCCCCCCTTAACACAGAATTGTCAATATTTTGAGTTAGAGCTGGTAGAAGTTTCTATAATTTTGATATTATTTGTATCAATAGTAGTACACTACACTGTAAAAATCTTTTTGAGATAGAGCAGGTGCGATTTTTTTAATTTGAATTTATTCTCTAAAAGAAATGCACTACGAAATAACTGTGTTCTCGGGCCTAAGAGATGAATTCCGTAAATGTAGATTCTGTACTTTGGCAACTTTCCTGAATGGTTTGCTGGTTTCAATTTGTCAAACTCAATAAAAGTAAAGGATTTACATCTTTGTTTGACAGAAATTCTGTTAAAATGTCCCATTTTGGCATTATACGGCTAAAATAAGCATTTTAAAGCAGTTTCCATTTTATGCCTAAGAGCCATGCTGACTTTCTATCTGACAGCTTTTTATGTTTCTGATATTTGTGTTTCTATTCTTAAATCAAATTTAATTAACCATTTGTGAACTCTGAATCTAGAGAAAAGTAGATTATCACAGAAAAAATGTGCAAAATATTTGTATTTATGTCCCTGGTTAAACGGCCTGTTTGATGTATGTGAAATGTGAAGAGCTTTGTACATAAAATCTGTAGTCCATCACAAATATTTCACTAAATCTGTTAAAAAAACACTTTACAATGATCAGTACACCCTATTCATTTCATATGCTACCATAATTTTCTTCTTTAGGATAGTAAGTGGTTCAAATATATGCCAATTGAGACTAAAACTACATGCAAGTTTTCCATTGAAAAGTGAAAAACTGGTCATCAGACCATACTGTCTGCAAAAAAAAGTTGAATTCAAGAGTCCTTTTGCAATTAGACTTCTTGTATCATGACATCTTAGCATAGAAATGAGCAAAAAGTAACAAATTTCCATTTCTTATAGCCTCTGTGTGCATTTTTATATGTAAATATGGGCTACGGCCTAAATCGACTCTATATAATTCTCAGTCTTACATGGCCTAAGACCATTTTATACTCATGTGGTATGCTTTTTGTAACTTTTCTTTACACTCAAAGTACATTTAATATATATAGAAGAATAATGTGTGGTTAAAAAACTTCAAATTAGTTGAAAAAAATGCATGTTTATGTAAGGCTTCCCTTAATTCGAAAATCTCTATTTTCAGGCACAGGCTCATATAAATTTGACTTTTGAATAACTGTAATAAATCTAATAAATCAAATGAGTGTTCCGTTGCTTTAAATACTTATTATACTATATTCAAGAGTATTTAAAAAGCAAATTTTTGCAATATTTAAATTTTTTAGGCCAAAATCTTGACAGTTGAAAATATTTGATTTAAACGTCAAAAATAAACATCCAAATTTCAATACTAAAATGGCCCTAGTTTCTATAATATATATCCTATGGCCATGAAACTTGGCCAACTATCTTATAATTTCCTAAGCTTAAGTCATGCAAAGTTTTATTGAAATTGGTCAAGTCTTTCTATCCTATTAGGTCCAAGGACACAGTTATCGTCCTTTGGTTTTCGTTGTCTACAAATATAGTCCCTAGTGTGAACAGTGTATAACTTGCATTTTTTTTTTATACACTTTGCCAATTTATTTCTTGATATTTTATGCATGAAATATTAAGTAAGGGGATGAAATTACATGTTAAAAAAAATTGGGTGCTGAATCTTTATGTTAAGTAGTGATTTGGTCCAGTTAAAAAAGGTCAAAAATTAGAATGTCTGAAGCTGTCAAACTGAATTGTAGCCCCCCTTAACACAGAATTGTCAATATTTTGAGTTAGAGCTGGTAGAAGTTTCTATAATTTTGATATTATTTGTATCAATAGTAGTACACTACACTGTAAAAATCTTTTTGAGATAGAGCAGGTGCGATTTTTTTAATTTGAATTTATTCTCTAAAAGAAATGCACTACGAAATAACTGTGTTCTCGGGCCTAAGAGATGAATTCCGTAAATGTAGATTCTGTACTTTGGCAACTTTCCTGAATGGTTTGCTGGTTTCAATT